TATGCGCAGTACCAGGTGTACCCAGGTAGGCCAGGCAGACAGTCATATACCTGCTTATTGAGTCGACTGATACCTTTAAACAAAGTTTCATGATGCATCAAACACTTCATGAAAAATGCGTCATGAGCTCTCGGACCATTACTCGAAAAATTTACTTACAATTTTAGTTTAAAATAATAATTAAATAAATGATTAACGTAAATAACATAGGTAGGGTATTTTTAATAATTTTAAACTAATATACCTACGGATTTGTTCGGAACCCTGGGTGCGCGAGTCCGACTCGCACTTGGCCGTTTTTTTATGCATATAAACGACTACTATTTCGGTTATAAAACTTTCTTAAAAACGATGGTTTTATAACCGAAATTAGTTTGCATTGTTTACTAAAAAATGCATAGGCAAAGTACACATAGGTACGGTTTAAACCAGTATAATACTTAAATGTTAACGTACCGCTTAATGACTTTAAGCACTATGCGCCAGTCATAGAGTTATCAATTTACCTTTTTGTGCCAACGTATTACAGTTTATAATGGTCAAACAACTCACTCTCTCCGTCTTGCCAAAGCGCGACAGAACATTCTAAATAGTGAGCTGCGAAAGAAACGTCTGTACTATGGACTTCGAAATCTTCCTGGAATGCCCAGCCACGCCGGCCGAGGTATAATAGAAAGCAGTGTGCGCAATGTGCGACACAGATGTTAGATATAAAAAGTTAAAAGATGCCTTGAGTGAATAAGTTGTAAAGATATACTGATACAGTGATACATTCGGATGCGGATGGATATAAAGATTGATTAATGGAAACGGATTGATTTATATCTTTTGTATCTATCTTTCCTGAGTTACCCATCTCTACTTAGAATATACTGGCGTACTATATAATATAATAGACTACCTGACAGCCCAAAATGTGTAACCAATTTTGATTTGTCATTGTGTGCGTTAACTAGTGATGTACATTTTACTTACAAGGACTATCGAAAAATTATTGTTGAGGAAGCGGAAAAAGATAAAAAAATGGTTTAGTGCACTGAATTTTTATCTTGATAGTTCTAAAATAATTAAAAAATATACAAATAACATGTTCCCGGGAATCAGTTGTAATCTTGTAAGTCATTTGTTGGATGTTAATTCAAAATGTACAATGTCCCAATAATCTCTGAAGAGGTGAGTATACCGATAAATTTAAACAATTTTCACCAAGAATCAGATCGGAAAGTTGTATTTTCGAGTCTTTAGAGAAAACTTTATGGCCATGGACATTTTCCCCGGAATTTCTTTTTTAACATAACGTTGATCAAATATACTTAAATAGGCTGATACTTAATTAAGTATATGCCTATTTATACTTTTTATATTTTATAAAATGTTTTGCTATTGAAATAAAAAACGGGACACGGAGTACATAATGGCTGGTGGCTGCTTTATTTTCCTTATAACTAATACTTTTAATAATTACAAGCATCTAATAATTAAATACAATTTAGAAATTAATTTTAACATTCGATTAAAATATGAATTTAAATCTTAGTAATTTATTTATACACTTTATTGTACTAAAGGTACAAACCGTGGACTTAATGCCATACGGCATTTTCTACCAGCCAACCGGAAAGTTAGTGAGAGAGTCGGGCGTCATGTATAAATCGGGCATCGGGCGTTGTGAGTCATGTCTCATGCATAACATTACTAAATACGAGGGGCACACTGAAATGATCGGGAATAAGAAAAACCACATGCACGGTATAGCTAAATTGTATTTTATTGTTTTTTGAAGTATTCTCCGTTCAACTTAATGCACTTTTCCATTCGTGCAAACCAATCATTAAAACAGTAATTCCAGTCTGAAGTTGATGTTGACAAAATGGCTGATTTGTATGCTTACCACAGCTGCTTCGGGGTCTTCAAACCGTTGACCGCGTAATAAATCTTTCATTCTAGGGAATGTAAAGAAATCGTTTGGGCTCAGGTCAGGACTGTACGGAGGATGGGTCATCAGTTCAACGTTTTCCTGAATCATTTGTCTTGGGAGCTCGCATTATCGTGATGTAAGATGATGCGAAGTTTCGGGTTATTTTTTCGGAGTTCAGCTATCATTTCTGGCAAACAAACCGTGATATACCACTCAGCGGTAACCGTTCTGCGTTCCTGTAAAGGAATTGTAGGAAATTGCCCCTTTTTTGAGACAAATGTAGCGACCATTTTCTTTGACACGCTGCGGGAGCGAACCACTTCCGTTGGTTTGACCTCTTCTTCGAAGACCCAAACTGCTGACTGACGTTTTCTTTCAGGTTCGTATGAATAAATCCATGATTCGTCACCTGAGACGATATTATAAACGGCATTTGACTTCCCTCCGTTGAAGCGTTGCAGAGTATTCCGGCACCAATCTACACGAGCCGCCTTTTGCTCTTCGGACAAATTGTGGGGAACTCAGCGGGAAACTAGCTTTCTTACACACAGTTCATTATGTAATATCGACTGAATTGCAGTCATTCCGATACTGATAACAGCCTGAATCTGCTCGTATGTCACATGACGGTTATCTAATATAATAGTTTATTTATTTAACAAGTACACTTACAATATACATATATGACATTGTCACAAAAACTTACACCCTTTTATATTTTCTGATATGCATATCAATTACAAGTGTACATAACATTTACAGATTGAGTCGGGCAACTTAATTTAGAATTAATTTGAGGTAGGAAAACATACAATCAATGCAATAAAATGAGAAATAATTTAAGTAAATTATGTTACTAAATAGGTAAAAAAATCAAATGAAAAAAAAACCATGTTCAATGATTGGGAAAGAAAATGGTAGATATTGTACTCTCTTTAGAAGTATGTACATTTTTAATTTAAGTATAAAATAGATTCTATTAAAAATATAATTTTTAACAGGAACTAATTAACTAGGCGATAAATGCCTTGTAAGTTTAATTTTGAAGGTCTTAAAAGAGTCGTAAAATATATCGATGCTAGGTATGGTTTTAGTTATTACGTTATATTTGCCACATATACGAACAATAGGAGCATGATTCCCGAGATGAGTTTTCGTGAAAGGAATATAAAATGTTTTTAACCTTTTGACCGCCAGACCTAATATCAACATTCTTTCCCCGGACGCCAGTTACGATATGGCGGCGATCAAAAGACTTTTTAAAAAGAATAAAATTAGTTTAATTTCACAAAAGTTACAAAAGTAATAAATTCAATTAATATGTAAAGTTACAAAGAAGTTAAGTTAAGCGTGGATGGTGTCAGACTGTGAGACAGTTCTATTGTTTCCACGGCGATCCTTTCCGCAGCGCAAGCATTCCTCATTTGCCCATTGTTCTGTAAAACTGCTATGTCAGCCCGATTCCAGGGTTACGACACGTTAACTCTTCCCTCCTTAAGTTGGAAGCTAGTTCTGCAGCTTCCAGGAGCGTCCTCGCGACTTGCTTTACTCGATCGCTTATTCCAATTGTATATCTTCCAGATTGCAATAGATGCTGCTAGTATGTAGAGGAGCACTGTAGACCAGCTGGGGATTGCCATAATATAAGACCAGTTCCAGTTTTCTATTTCTTGAATGTCTTCAACCTTGTTCATAAGTTCATAGACACTATCTAGTGAGATGTCTTCCAGATGTATTTCGTACTGGACTTCTTCCTGGTTTATTAGGTTCTCGTTGGGTAGAGGGATGACTTCGTCCATCGAGATGCTGCTGGTGTGTGTTCTTATTGTTGTATTCATGATCTTAACTTGACAGTCCTGTGTTAGGTTGATGAAAAATGTTCCTGATAGTTTCCTATATTCTGTTTTCTGTCCGCATTGGGTTTTTATAATTTCTGGTTCCGTTGATACTACCAACCACTTATTTTCTTTGATCTTCTGCAATTTTCCTCGCTTCAGATTCATGCGCGCACGAGTGCAGTTACCATCTTTATGCTTGATGAGTGAGATGATGCAATCTTCAGATTTCTCTATGGCTCTAGTATCCAGTGATTTGCAGAGCCAGGTATCTTCTGACAGCTTTTTGCAATCTTCTTCCAGGTAGGCGTACTCATCGCTTCCAAGTGCGAGGAATTTGGATTTGGGTATAATGGTCAGGTTTAGGTTGTTTGGCAGGGAATATATGTGTATATAATCATATAATATAGGTTGGACGGATGGGATTTCTAATATAAATGTTAAAGAATGTTCTGTACTATAGGCTTTAACGCTAATAGACTTTTCTATCTTATGAATATTATCAATACTGATCTCCTCGACTGGATAAAGTGAAAAGTTATCCTGCAAATTACTAAGTTCCAAAACTAAATTTCGTGGGCTTATAATACTAGAGTGCATTATACCTAATTGCGAGAATGCCATAGCATCTTCTAGCACCATTAACTTATCTAAAATAATCTGTAAACTAAAACTTATTTGAACGTAAATCTCTAAAAAGTGTAACTGGTTTTTTATTGTATCGGAATTAATTGTTATGTTTTTTAGTATAGATGTTAATCTCTTTTGGTTATCATCTATTTTGCTTAGTTGTTTCGAAAATTCCTTTGAAGTACTTTCAGCTAAAGATAGGGTTCGCCTCTGTGAGCTTTGCGTTTTATAGACCGATTTACGAATTTTATTTATTTCGCTTTCAAATCGAATCGCGTCTTCGTTGTCCAAATTACCAGTTATCGCCTTTACTATAGAACCTAGTCCATTTATAATACCACGCCTAAATCTAATCCTAGGTGCAATAAAAATGATTTTCTTATTAATTAAATCTAACTTGTGTTCTATCTGATCCCTATATGTTTTATGTAATTCTTCTGAAGTACTGTTACTTTCAGTTGCCTTAGCACTTGCGTATAATGCCATTAATTTTATCGATATTAGATTCAAGTGCGTAACATTATAAACACAAGCAAGGTTGAAGGAATCAGTCTGTTTCAGAATATGACCTTGTCTAAGTAATAGAACTCCGTTCGTATTGTCTACGGGTTGAAATGTTACGTCGGATCTTGCCTGGAACACGAAGGCTCCGATGATGGTTGTCCTGGAACAAGATGGGGTCTTCGTAGAAGCTTGAAATGTACCCGAATAGACTTAGAATTAGGATGATTCCCTACTATTTCTGCTACATTATTAGGATGTAAATGAATAATCTTATACGGTCCTTTAAACACCGGTTTAGTTTTATCGTTTCTCGCTGTTTTGGCAACCTGCTTATAAACTGTTTCACCTACCTTGAATGTTATCTCCTCTGCTGCCTGGTTTCGCTTCGCTATTACCTGTTCCTTGTTTTTGGCCATGTGCGCTGACACACATTCCTGGACGGCTTCTGCATGCATTTTGTGCTTGATAACATAGTCCTGGTAAAACTGCTTAGGATAATGTAACTCTAGTGGATTTCTAGAAGCTGTATGTCCAAATAGTAACTCGTGTGGAGTATATTCTGTTGCCGAATGGATTGAGTTATTGTAAGCAATAACTGAAAATTTCATAATTAATTGTATGGGATCATCTTTGTTTGTCATTCGTTGGATTCTGATAATCTCTCCTATAGTCGAATTCGAATTTGGATTGTATGGAGTCGTAAATTGAATGTCTATACCATGTAAAGCGCACATCTCCTTTATAACTTCTTTGTCAAATTTACTGTCTGAATCCGTTATAATTTTATAAGGAATTCCTAAAACTGAGAACACCTGAAATAAAGCTTCAGCTATATGTACACTACTAGTGGCGTTCAACGGTATTGCTTGTGCGAACTTTGAGAAATTGTCTATTATAGTGAGGTCTAAGAGGGTTCCTTTCATATTTAGCTTGTAAACAGATACTACATTGATTTATGAATGCCTGGATTGTGAGTAGCATGTGAGGCCAATGGTAGTTTCTATGGATTTGCTTGTATGTCTCCTGGATACCACGATGCACAGTTTTGCCTTCATGATATTTCTTAATTATTTCTTGTTGTTCTGTCTTGTTTTCGACAAGGGTAACGCGTGAAATACATCTAAAAAGCTTAGGGCCTCTGTCGTTAAATACCGTCGTGTAAACTCTGGAGAATGCTAGGTACAGTTCTTCATTATAAAAGTAGCAGTAAAATACACGATCAGCAATAGTGTGTTCTTTTAAGAATTGGATAATTTCTTTCTCTGTGTTATTGACTGGAATAAATACATCTTTAATTACTGTTCTAGAGTTAGTAGACCTATTTTCTACTCTGTACGTTGATCCTGGAGTTGATCTGATATGGAATTGTTTTAGTTGTCTGTCGATCGCGTCTGATAGGATTGGTATGCCGTTGTTTTCGTTGTCGGGTTGCGTATGGTTTGTCGACACTAAGTGATCGGGATCGCGTGTAACGATACTCATACTATCGGATTCTGTGTCTGTTAGAGGAGGTTGTACATTGGGTCTAACTGTCACGTTATTATCGTTAATATTGCTGTTGTCGTCATTATTATCCACGGGCTGTTGTATTCCTTCTGTCTCCGTATCTATCTCTTGTCGTACGTTTTCGAAAATTCTGTTTATGATGTCGTCGTCAAAATTGTCATCTAAATTGACTGCTAGTGAATCGATGCTCTTATGATAAATTTTGACTCTGGATAGAGCGTCTGCGTTGGTGTTTTGCCGTCCTTTTTTATAAACAACCGTGTAGTCATATTCAGCGAGTTTAAGCCGCCACCTAGTTAATTTAGAATTAGGGTCTTTTAGTGACATTAGCCATGTCAGGGGTCTATGGTCGGTATATATGACAAATTTTCGTCCATAAAGATAAGGCCGAAAGTATTTCACTGCCCAGACGATGGCTAAGAGCTCCTTTTCTATTGTCGAGTATTTCGCTTCTATATCCGAAAGTGTCCTGGATGCGTATGCTACCGGTTTGTCTGAACCTATTTTTCCTTGAGACAGTACTGCACCAAGGGCTACGTCCGATGCGTCTGTTGTCAGTATGAATGGTTCGTCAAAGTTTGGGTACTGTAGGATAGGTGCATTGGTTAAAATCTGTTTGCAATTATTGAAGGACTCCAAAAATTCGGAGGAGTGTATAACTTTACTATTTTTCTTAAGGCATAAGGTCATTGGTTTCGTAAGCTTTGCAAAGTCTTTTATGAACTTTCTATAGTAGCCTACTAGTCCTAAAAAGCTTTTAATTTCTTTCTGTGTTTTCGGTAGAGGGAAGTTTAAAACCGCTTTAATTTTGTCCTGATTAGGTTTTAGTCCTTGATCAGTTAGTTCATGGCCTAAAAATGTGACGTGTTTTTGAAGGAACTCTGACTTGTCTAACTGAATTTTGAGATTATGTGTTTTAAACCTTTCAAATACTTGTTTCAGTTTCTCTATATGCTCCTGCAATGACGTTGATATTATTATAACGTCATCGAGATAGGTGTAAACGTTGTTAATACCTCTAAGGATGTGGTCCATGAGCCGTTGGAAAGTACTGGGTGCATTTTTTAGGCCAAATGGCATTCGAAGGAATTCGTAATGTCCTCTCTCTGTTGTGAATGCAGTTTTCTCTATGTCACCAGGGTGCATCTCCACCTGATGATAGCCGCTAGCCAGATCTAAGGTCGTAAAATATTGGGCGCGTCCAAGTCTGTCTAAAATGTCATCTATGTTGGGAAGTGGGTACTTTTACTATTCTATCGTTAAGTCTTCGATAGTCTATGACTAACCTCCATTTTACCTTACCTAGTGCGTCCGGTTTTTTAGGGACAATATGAACAGGGCATGACCATGGGGATATACTTTCGCGAATAATACCTTGTTTTAAAAGATTGTCTACTTGATTCTGTATTTCTTTGCGTTGTTGTGGGGCTTGTCTGTAACTTCTTACAAATATCGGAGTCTGGTCGGTCAGTCTTAACTGATGTTTAACTGCATGCGTAAAAGAAAGTGGGATATTTTCAGAGTGGAAGATGTCTCTATACTGATAGCAAATCTTAGTGATTTCGCGTTTCTCCTCTTCATTCATATGGTCTGTACGTATTTTATTTAAGTTGTTGCGTAATTCTTTCTCTATATCCGAGTTAACCTCTATGGAATTTAAACTGCATCTAGATCTATCAGAGTTCTCACGGTATGGTTCTAGGTATATCTTTTCATTATTAGAAATTATTCGTTTTTCTGAATTAAAGTTTATAATGGATGTTCTAAATTTTCCCTCTTTGACCTCGACCATAGCTGCGGGAGATTTTAAGCCGTTAGACCATATGAAATCATCGTGAATGTACTGACCGTCAGAATAATTGGTTAAAAGCTTTTACAAAAATTTACTTCGCAAATATCCGCGTTATAAAATAAAATGATGTGTCTTACCTAGTATGAAGAAGCACCTCCCGCCCTCCCTCAATTGCGTGCACTAACCCCGTCACCACTAATCCCAGCACCGCTACTCCCAACACCACTACACTAGGCAAGACACACCACTGACGATAATACGACACGTGTTTCGCCTCTACACGAGGCATCCTCAGGTGATATAGACTCTACGGTGGCTAACCGCTGACTTAGCGGTGGTGTGTCTTGCCTAGTGTAGTGGTGTTGGGAGTAGCGGTGCTGGGATTAGTGGTGACGGGGTTAGTGCACGCAATTGAGGGAGGGCGGGAGGTGCTTCTTCATACTAGGTAAGACACATCATTTTATTTTATAACGCGGATATTTGCGAAGTAAATTTTTGTAAAAGCTTTTATATAATGGATTTCCGCAAAGTAACGCCTGATTCTATTAATTAGAATAATTAGTTTTCACTACTATAATTTTTTCGCATTTTGGTTCAATCTTGAGTTTTTTACTGGGATAGTCAAATGAAAATGGTATCTGCGAGTTAGCGGTATGTAAAAGTCTATTTTTTATATCTATGTTACACGATAGCGTCCTCAATAAATCCAATCCTATTAAGCCTTTATATTTGGGGTCGAAATCGAATATAAGGAACTTATGAATTATATCGCTGTTAAACGCGGGTGGCAGTGGTAGATAGGCCACTTGATCGTGCTGTGTAATGGCATGTGCTGTTTTTACCTCGAATGGTTCATACTCTACAAGGTGTTCGAAAATTGTGTTTTGTATTACACTAGGTGATATCATAGAGCGCGAGGCTCCGGTGTCTATAAGGAACTTACCTTGAAATTCTGGCAGCTCAATATATGGAAGGTGGTCTTTATCATGGTTATTTAGTTTTACTAACTTTGGTCTGAGGGCACCGGACCTTGGTAAAAATCCTGCTGAACCTCACCGTCGTCCATTGGAGGTTCGTATACCTGTTGGTTGTAGTTGTCACTACAGTATGCATACTGACCTTGTTGATGAACGTAGTCCGTGTCGTCCTCGCCATATTGTTGTTCGTATGGTTGTCCAGGTGGGCTTGTGTAGAATAGCTCCTCAGCTGCAAACTGTGGTTTTTGAGGCTTAGAGACGGATCTCATTGTGACGTCTGAAACCTTCTGTGCAGGAGCTTGTTGCTGGGGTATATTATTTGGGCGGTTCTTCCATGGCAACATGGATTGCACCCACTGCTGCCTCTGTTCTGGAGTCAAATTATTTTGTCGCAGAACTGGAGCTTTATTACTCGTCTGGTTTTGCATGGCGCCTGAGTTACCAAACCTAAGCGGTAGGGAATTTTGAGGCTGATTTATAGCCCGTATTGGTTCTCTAAACTTTGCCTGAGCCGATGTTGATGGTGCACTATAACTATTATTATTGAATGTCTTATTAAAGGAAAGTTTCGCTTCCTCTTGTCTCGCTATTACTATGGCTGATTCTAATGTGGTGGGTTGTGCTATTCGCACCGCTATAGAAACTTGGAAATCTAAATTACTCGTGTATTGTATTACCTATTACCATGTTTTCGTAGTACGATTTATTGGTATGTGTGCCTACAGAAAATAGTGTATCTAGTATTTCTCGAAGTCGCTTACCAAGTGTCTCCGCGTCCTCGTTTCTGTTGCGCCGCACCCTACTAAGCTCTTGCATAACCTGGATTTCATTCCTAGGTTCCCTTAATCTACGTACGAGCGCATCTTTAATAGTTTCCCAAGAATTAAGAGTTTCTTGTTATGCTATCGCATCAATCGCGGTACCGCTTAATCTACTCTTTATGAGACATATAATTGCCGGATGTACCCTGGCAGTATCGTCCAAAAGATTAAGAATATTTTCAATTTCTCTGATATAATGGTTTAATCTCTTTGTATTGCCATCGTACCTTGGTATCAATTCCGCGATCATCTTAAAGTTGGCTGCCTCACCGTTAGGAAAAGCCATTTTTAAATTAATAATAAAAAAACACGTTATAAGTTAGAATAGTTGGGCAATTTGTCTGTCAATCTGCCTATTTGCGATTTTAGCTATAAGACGTATACACTACCGGACCTCAACTAAGAGTCTGCAGCGATTTTTAGCTGTTAGACTTATATCCTATAATAGCTAATAGGAATCTATAAAGATTTGAGCTAAAAGACGAATACCTAATCTCCTAACTAAATGTCTATAGCGATTTAGCTTCTAGCCAGAATCACATATACTACTTAAAGTAAATACGGAAGGAAATAGAGCAAAGGGAACTTGAAATAGCGAGAGTACTCACCAAAGCACCTTCTGCATCTCCTCACGGGTCTGAGTCAGCTCCACTTGGTCTTCGTCCGTGCCGCCGTCGTAGATTCGAAGTCGCGATTTATACGATCGAAACCGTTCAATTGGTCGAAGGTTCTACCAATTGTCGCGAAAGACCGACTGCGCCAGTTACGATATGGCGGCGATGAAAAGACTTTTTAAAAAGAATAAAATTAGTTTAATTTCACAAAAGTTACAAAAGTAATAAATTCAATTAATATGTAAAGTTACAAAGAAGTTAAGTTAAGCGTGGATGGTGTCAGACTGTGAGACAGTTCTATTGTTTCCACGGCGATCCTTTCCGCAGCGCAAGCATTCCTCATTTGCCCATTGTTCTGTGAAACTGCTATGTCAGCCCGATTCCAGGGTTACGACACGTTAACTCACCACGCGCATTTTTTCCCAAATATTATTATTCTTAATGATTTCTTATGTTTACGCGAACACTACACATTTTTAAATAAAACTAATTTTACGGATTTTATCGCGTATATTAACTTATTTTTATATTCCCGACGTTTCGGGTGCTTTCCAGCACCCGTGGCCACGATTACGAAGAAGTACAAAAAGGAAACTGATCAAAATAAGCAATAATACATTAATGGGAATGTTATTTCACCTATCAATAAAGATTTAACAACAAAATGTTTTTAGAATGTAAGATAGGGATCAAGAATTTTAGCGCAACTAGTTGACGACGAATAATTTTTCAGTGCAACCTTTGATTTAGTGCTAGCCCGCGTACAGCTCATTCTATGATGTATGACCTTCCAGGTCCTCGAGTATCCCCGTCACTGAAAGCCTTTTCGCATACAAATTGTGACTACTCGGGCTCTATTATGTTTATGTTGAAAGAATAGGATTGCTTGGAAATTTATTCCACCCAGTGCTCCACATTTTGGGGGATGCCGGGAAAGCACAATTAAATGTGTTAAAACACATTTAACTAAGGTTATTGGTCAACAAGTTAGGTAGTAGAATAGTTAAGTAGGTAAGAACCTATGAGGAACTTGACACCGTGTTAACTCAAATTGAGGCATTACTTAATTCACGGCCGTTATACGCTCTTAGTTCGGATTCTTCTGATCCAACTGCTTTGACATTTTCGCATTTTTTAAATACATTACCACTTAATAATTTACCCGCTCCGGACACATCTGAGAAAATTAGTTTGCTCTCCCGTTATGAACTTTTGGACAATTTGGTCCAGTCATTTTGGAAGAGGTGGCGCAATGAATACTTGCACACCCTGCAGCAAAGGCAAAAATGGAATACGCCAGCCAATCCCGTCAAAGAAGGAATGGTTGTCCTTCGTCTACAGGATAATGTAATAAAAGGAGTATTTCAACGGCCAGTTGTAAAACTGTGTCCCCTGCGCCCCCTTTTCCCTAAAGAGGGTCGCTTCGGATTTGGCAGAAAGGCCTCATAAGCCAATGCCAGTCTCACAGGTGGTGTTTAGTGGATAGGCACTTAGGTTAGGTTAGGCTAGTCGCAGTGACTCCCACATAACCACGACAGCCGGCTGTCGTAGTGTGCTTAGAGCATTCACCACCTCCCTTCCTCGCTTTCCGGAGGGTAGCCCTTTTCCATTGCGTCTGGGCGCAAAAAAGCTGTCCGCTACCTACGCAATTCTCTTAATTAGTAGTAAGATTTATTAGTTTTTTTTCTCTCTCGCACGTTATTTTATTGTTAATACTTAGAATACGCTAGATCACTTATGTATGTGTATAATACTAACCGCATTTATAATACTAACCGCACACTTTGATATTACCGCACATTATACTCTTAACTTTTAAACAGCAACAACGCAACGCACTCCTTAAAGACTTTATCAAGTTTTCTTTGTATTTCTTTTGGACGCATCTAGTCCACTCGCAATAAGTTTTTGTTTGTAAAATATTACATTACTGATTATAGTCAACAGGACTATTTATCCACATAGAAATTCTACTCCCGCACTATATTTCATTTACCGCTTGGGGTTTATTTTCTACCGCAATCTTTCGATGTTTCCACTTGTGTTGAAAGTGGAACCTTTCAAGGCCGGGGGAAACGGATGCGCCAGAGGTCGTTTCCTGTCGACACAGTCGCGTCACAATTGTCGACGCACGCGCATGTCAGTCGCATTCCGTTTGTCAACGCAGATAGTCACTTCTGAACCGTCGGCTCAAGCGCGCGCCATTTTGTCGCGCAACGCACCGCATATTAAAGCGTTCGTCGCCTTACCGCTCGCAAGAAACACGCGCCGTGCGCGTGTCGCAATAATAAAACCCACAAACTGTCGCCAGCAAGACTATGTGATACCGCAAGAACGTATTCGTATTAATCAGCCAATCGTGATGAAGATAACCGCATCGCAGCTGTTGAAGTAAGGAGTTCGCCGTGCCGCCCCTCATCCGAAGATCGCAGGTGAGCTTATTTGGTCTTATGAACATGCAATTACCCGCTGGTCCTTCGAATTTATCTACCTTAACTTGAATCAGCCTCTACCTGGGGGCCTAAGCTATCGTAGGAAATTGTTTAAAAGCCCCCACCGCGTGGGCGCCTCGTGGGCCACACCTCCCGCATAGACTGGGTTTTCCTGGTCAACCCCGCATACCACTACAGCAGGGCTATTCACAATCGTCTCGGAAAGCGAAATCGACTCGGATTCGATAACTTCTCGCACCGAAACCAATAAACGCTATTAACATTTAACGTTCCGACAAAGGTCACTTAGATACATCCTATAACTATTGTATCGTCATTTAGTTACATGCATTTACGAATTTTGTAGATAAATAGGCTTTTGTATTTTTTTAGAGTAACGCCTGAACAAAAACATAATGCAATATTTTGGAGTTAGCCATTGATATCGAATATAAAAAATATATAATTTAAGTATATAATAAATGACAAAAAAAAATACAAAAGCCTATTTATCTACAAAATTCGTAAATGCATGTAACTAAATGACGATACAATAGTTATGGGATGTATCTAAGTGACCTTTATCCGAACGTTAAATGTGAATAGCGTTTATTGGTTTCGGTGCGAGAAGTTATCGAATCCGAGTCGAATTCGCTTTCCGAGACGATTGTGAATAGCCCGGCTGGTATTTTTCTCGGGCTGCAGATTCTTACAAAGTTTGTGGTTCTAATTCCGCAATTAAACTAATTAAACAAATTACCTAGTGGCCCATTTAGAGGCGCATCCTCCAAACAGAATTTTATTAAAAGAAGCCATGAATTAATAGTAAACGAAGTGATTACATTATCTTTGATTAATAGAAGAAAAAAATGACATTTGTTTGTCAACGTCTTTCATGATAAAAATATTTTCTGAAATTTATTTAGGTTTAGATTTTAATATTTATAACCTTAGAGTAATTACACATAGAGTGATAGTGACATTCAAAATTCCGTTCAAATTTGAAGCAACAACACAATGAATGTCTGCATAAGCGGCCTGTAATTACGTTTGCCCCACAGACTACTTAGTGCACAGAACACCTAATATAGCGGAATAGAAATGCCTTTGTTTCAATTTACTTGCGATACCACTGCCGCCGCTAGTCTCCCCACTCCTTGCAGGTAGTTAACACACTCAACTCATATACGCTAGTGCTTGACAAATAACTATCGATAAAATATCGACACGGAATAATGTAGGTAATAAATATGTGATAAAATAAAACAGTTTAATGATATAATATGAAACGTAAATTTAATGAAATAATGCTATAAAAAAGCGTAAAGTAGATAAAATAATAAATTACAAGGAGTAAAATTTATACAGTAAAATAGAAAAAAAATTTATGCATTTTCATCATTTAAAAAACAAAATATTTATTGAAATATTTATGTATTTATTGTCCTGTAAAATGCAAATATTTAGTTAAAAGTTGTCTTTTTGATACTTTTTGTGCTGAGGTTTTCATCAAATGGTGAAGCCGAATATCTGTATACCTTTCTATAATACATTTTGTTAACAATATTACATGGTTTTCCATTGGTCCCTGATCAAATTGATGAAAATCGATTTCTCTGAATACTTCAATGCCAATGAAATGACGTAAGGCTCTGGATGTTATCTGCTTTTTAAACTTTTCAAAATTTTTGACTAATTGAGCATCTACAGTAAAAGTTTTAAGAATTGATTCAATTCTTTTACAAATCAAAATTACGTCAGCGCTAGGAAAAAAAGGACCACCGTTGTCTTTCAACCGTATCAATTTAAAATTGTCTTTAATAGCACTGGAATTCAAAAGGGCCGAAATACAAGTTTCGCATTTAATTTTGTTTAATAAAAAATGTACCACATTTCCTGCTATGTAGCTTACTATTTTCGAACTAAATTCTGTCATGATATTTTCCGTT